GGAAGGCGGAGACGAACAGCTGATTGGTCCCGAACTGTTGGCGGTTCAGTGAGCCGTTCAGTGCATAATGTCTATTTACGGGGCGAGGCCCGTACCCTTGGGGGCCATTCGTTCTCGTCTCTGAGTGCCCTTTTGAAGTATGTTTTGATACAACCGTGACAAATAATGCAGCCGTCAATGTGCTCGATCACCTCGGGCTGCATGTCTTCTTGAAGGCAGACAGCGCACTTGTATGTGGTTGGAGTCGACATCGTGATGTTGCGAAAATCGAGATCTGAGCTGGTATTGCTACGGATTACCTGTTGCGAAGTACTGCTCTCGGTCGCAATGATAGTGATGTAGCGGTGTCTGCGTTCTTGAGCGATGTCTGAGTTGAAAAGATGATATCGCTGATGATAGTGATGTAAAGAAAAGAGAATCAGTTGTATCCAAGGGAGAGCATTGGAAGGCGACAACATTAGCAGGTGCGTGGTAGGCTGCTTCGCTCTTGCCAGCCTTAAGAACCAAATAGCACCCTAGCTCACCGATTGCATTGCGCCTCCTTTTGAAACGACACCTATGTCGCTCTTAACTCGCTTAGCGCATCTCAACATGGCGACATCTGACAAAGCTCTCAACGCTCATTTCACGGACGAGTACAACGAGCTTCTGTCGCTCTACAACGATGGCGAGATTGACAACCTGCGACGATGCAAATCTGGCGCACGCAAGTTACTGGACGAGCCTGTCATCTCGCCATACCATTGCATCAAGGCAATGCTACTACTTGTCAGTCCTGTCGCGGACACCGACGAGGCATAGAATTCTGACCAGCAGGCTCCTTGTCTTAGTGGAGAATTGTACGCCTCCGGAACCCGGAAGGCCGCGATGACAAGATCGATGGCGCATTAGGTGAGCCTTGAGAGGTCATCGAGGAAGGCGGAGAAGTCCTGTGCATCGAGCGTGTCGCGGACTTTGTTGCTCCGCAGGAGGAGATCGATGCTGATCAGCAGGCACGGCTTGAGGCGGCGCTTGATAGCTATGACAAGCCATCGCGAGAGCCCGGGTCAGATAATCAGACCCCAGCGCAGCAGGAGGCACAGGGACTCCGCCACTTGGATGAAGTCCTCTATGGCGATCAACAGTGAAAAAGCGGCCGGCGAAGTAGGTCAACGCATTCTCAATCGCCCGGTTTCCAATGAGACTGACAGGTATGGGGTATTCGAGCAAGCAACAGCGCTTCGTTCAAGGCAATCGCAGAGTAAACCAGACACCATGGTGATCCAATGTATACCAACCTCAAGCACCACTCCAATCAGTGATGCGGCCCTTTAAGGCGACGTGTCAGTGAGGTTTACATAGCAGAAGCCGCATGCTTGTCTTCATACAAGATGGGTCTGCTTCTTCATCCCGCAAGCCAGAAGTTCGCTACCATGTACATATCTTCACCTATAGTTTCTTATTCTTTCATATCGACATCACTCTCGATTTTCGTTTCATCCAAAATAGGGCCCTGAGGTGAGTGCGGTTGAAGTGCGGGACGCTCGGGAGGAGCCGTTGCTGGATTTTACCTCAGCAAACATCACTCCTTGTCCGCAGACATGCGCCCATTCATATGAAACGGTCACGACTGATGGATACTTCTCGTGTCACATATCTGAATCGCACTCGAGCGTGAGTGATCCCGACTACAACTCACCGCTCGCTGGTCGAACGATTTGCGGCATCGATAGCTCGGACGCTGCGAAGTTCCCGGGTGGGGTCCCTAGAGCTCGATAGGTAACGCAGCTTGCACGATTGGCCGGCGCAGCTTTGTGGATCCATGCAACGTCGGTTTCCGGACCTGACCTGGAAGATACTGGCCAAAGGCAGAGGTGGCGCATCGTATGACTATGGCGGGCTCGACACGCCTCTCGAGCACCATCTTCCCTCTCGGACCCTCCGGACTGCATACCCCATGTTCAATGATGATCCCCCGTGCGGCAGTATCGCTTTGCCCCACGTCCTGGGCAGGCTGAGCGAGAGACTTCGAGGTTTCGGTCCAAAAATGTGCCAAGACTGCAAATTTTGCTTCTGTACATAGTTGGACTGCCCAACATAACGCTTTCAAGGACGCATGGTCTAGTGGTATGACGTAACCTTTACAGAGACTGCTGCTATCGTCGTCGACGTCGTGGTATCGAGAGTATTCGGTTCAGGTCCTGGGTTCGATCCCCAGTGTGTTCAAAAAATTCATTCTTTTCGCCATTTTGGGCCGTTCTTCTGCCTCCCACTTGCACTACTCGAGTGCGATACGACCTACTACGCATCAGGGGTATGCAACTTTGCATGAGTCCCAGGATGTGAAGGTCTGAGTGGTGCGTCACTGTGTCGGTGTGCCAACACGGACCGTACAGACTGCTGGAGTATCGCGGTCTTACGCGGATCGAAGCAACGCTGGGAAGTAAGAACCCCGGACCCCTCTGCCAGCGTACTTGTTGTCGTAATGAATGGTCATGTACTGGGTTTGTTTACTGGTACGGACTCACCGATCATAGCATCGCTAGATCATAGCATCGCTAGATCACACCTGGCCGTGATCATGGTCCGATCGGCTCACAACCTGACCTCAAGCGTGAAAGCAAACCACTGTCGTTGACGATTGTGCATAGATGTTTCATGAAGGCCAGGTGAGGTATCTGATCCTACGCTACGATGTCACTGCCTTAGCGATACCCATAGTCGCTTTAACTCATGGACAGGTAAGCAATCATCTTCGTCCTTCCGTCGATCTCAGTCAATGAAGTGGAACATGGACGGAATTCGAGTACTCTCGAGACAATTTCTGCTGACGAAAATAGTCGGCAACAATGTCTCGAGGCTCCCGATTTACGTAGCGATACAGATCTTCGCCTACATACGGTTTACTACCAGGGCGGTCTATCACACTGGCTGCGCGACCAGACTCATACTAGAGCAATCAGCACTCATCCTCATCGGCGCATACAAAAACAGCACCCCGTCGCACATCATCAGCACATCCGCATCGGCCGCCCTGTTCTGCGGCCACAGCTGCGAGTATCCTCTCAAGCAGAACTGCACAGGGTGATACCCACTCGCCCTCGCCCTCGCAGCAGAGTCAAAGTATATCGGCTCCTGACCGGCACCACCCGCATCCTGATCCGAGTACAGGGTCAGCCCAGTATTGGGATTGACAAAGCTGACCTGCCCATTTGTCTGCGCCGTAAACCGTGTGGCAGCCGTGACGCTCCCCGTGACAGTTAACAGCGTGCGGCCGCTAGTGTTGATCTGGCCGCTGTTCGTCGCGCCGGTGAAGCTGTTGGTCATGAGGTAGAGCGTCCGAAGTTGCGGATTGCGATGGCGAAGGTGCCGGCGTAGACGCTGCACTGTACATCTGGGACAACACTGGCGGCGTTGCCTTGGGTGGTCGTCTGTTTTACGATTCGGACTGCGTTGCTTCCTGTGGTTGCTGTCGCGGTAGCTGTCGCAGTCGCGGTTACTACAGCTTCACGTCAGATTGGGTTCTAGTTCACAGTCTGCGACAGGCGCTCACCCGTCTGTACCGAAACATAGCTCGAGACGACGGTGCTTGTCGATGCTTGAGCGGTTGTCGTAGAGAACACAGTGCTCGTCGCTGCTTGAGCCGTCGTGATCGACGTCACAGTACTCGCCGATGCTGACGCTGTTGTGGTCAGGACCACAGTGCTAGCTGTCGCCTGTACCGTGGTTGTCGACGCGATACTTGACACCACGGTCTGAGTCAAGGTACTCTGTGCCAGGGTTGCCGTGACATAAGCAATGCTACCGCTGAGCGCTGTCGTCAGGGTCGCTCTCACGACTTGCGTCTGCGTCAGGTACTGCGTGGTCGTCGAAGGGGTGCAAGTGCCAAACCAGAGAGTCGCGCTTCCACTTGTGTAGCCTAGGCTCGTCGGTTCGGTAGAGTTGAGCAGGTCGAGATCGTCGTCGTCAACGCTGAAGCGTCGACTTCAAACACTTTCGTGGCGAGTCCAAGCAAGCCCAGGAACGCAGTACGCACTGTGGTGGCTGGTGAAGCCATCGAATTCTTCCACAGTTGTGCTCATGCCTTATTCTCGGACTCAGGGCCGCTGGACAAGCTGAATAGGAAGAGCAGCTTGTCAGCATCAGAGCTGGTGGTGTGACATTCTTCGCCATACTGCAACCATATGAATGGAATGTAGGAATGTACACTTAGCTCGATCGTCTGCACACTACTACAATACTGACTGCCGGACCCATTTCACATCAACTTTGCAGAAAGGTTCTTAAGTTCCACGTCGCCTAACAATTATGATGAAAAAGAAGCAGACCGCTTCCAGTCAAGGGCCCCTTTGGAGTCTGAGCCGCCAGGGCAGGAATATGCCTGAGTCTGCCTGTTGCAGCACCGCAAACCTTGGTCGTCAAGCCACGCCATTGCTGACGTGAAAACTACGGATCATGAACCCAAGTTATTTCGGTCCATCCCAATGTCAGCACATGAGGTGAAGGCTGTGTCTTGGCACTCGCCAACCAGACGCCTCTGCGCGTGGCTGAGCATCAAGCAAACGTCTCCCGCGGGCGCAGGGCAACGCGCAGACATACGAAACACCGCCCAGTCTTCGATTGTGGGTAGGGCAAGGCTGAAGGTAAGCCTCGTCGATCTCTGTATATCTGCTTGAAGGTGTCTCTCTTTCGCATTCGTCAAGCCATTGGACTTCACCACTGTCGCTTCCACTTGACACCGAATCAACACAACACAGCAACACCGCTACGATGGGCAAAGCCGGCCGCATAGCATGCATCCTCACGCCCATGCTGCTCACAGCAGCTTCCATCATAGCGATGATCTTCCTTAACATCGCGGGCTGGAGCACAAGCTCCTCGTCCATAAACTCCCTGTACCTCATGCGCGCAGACTTCTCGAATCTCTCCGTCTCGGACACAAGTCTCTTCGAGAACGACGACCTGACAGCCGCATTGACAGTCGCCAAAGCAGAGAATTTGCTGGAGAAGACATACGAGGTGCATTTGTGGAATTACTGCACGGCAAATAAGACCAGCGGGGAGATCGATTGGTGTTCTGGCAGGCGAAGAGGCTTCGTGTTTGACCCAGTGGAGATCTGGGCGCTGAACAGCACCGATGCTGCGGAAACGTCAAGCAGCGGAGGCAATGCGATCACAAGTGCGATCAACAATGCGAAGAACCAGACCGAGGAGTTCACGGACAAAGTCCTCGGCAAAACTGCTGCAGGAGCCTTGAACGCGTACAAGAAAGTTGCCAAGGTCAATGGCATAGTATTCGAGGCCGCATTCTGGACGACGCTAGCAACGATCGTCGTCGGCATCCTCGCAATCTTCAGCCGCTGGGGCAGCCTGTTGACGTGGATCTTGAGCTTCGTGCGTGCCCTTCAACCCCACAAATTGCATTGACAGTCTGACTGAATTTACTAGGTATCCACGATCCTCACCTTCGCCGCCTCCCTCATGACTACAGTCGTCTTCTCCACCCTCACAGGCGCCCTCGCCGGCCTGCTCAAACCTTACGATGTCTCCGTCTCCTTGGGCACGCGCGCCCTGGCACTCTCCTGGATCGCCACGTTGCTGTCCATGATTGCTACAGGTTTCTGGCTTATGAGCATCTGCTGCTGTAGCGGGCGCTCGAATCCACACCACAAGTCGAATAAAGGCGGGTTGTGGAATGCGGAGCCAAAGGGGCAGGGGTATGGGTTCAATAGTGGAGGAAGAGGGAGGGGGTTGACGGTCGAGAAGACTGGAGGCGGGTATGAGAGGGTGAGCAGTCCGTTCTTGGGCGGTGACGGACATGGGGATCGAGTGCCGCTGCAGCAGTATCCCGCCACACCGGGGCAGGGACACGGTGGGTACGGACATCAGCAGCAGGGAGGCCAGTTCGAGCCGTTCAGGGGCCAGGGGCGATATTGAAGTGATGCATTATTGGGGTTAGCGACGGAGTTGCATTGCGAGAGTCTAGGTGTCAAGTCTTCATGAAGCTATGAAGTACATATCTGTGTACATGATTGATCATACATCGTCTCATCCGCTCGCGGCTCCATCTCGTGAGCCACTGGTGCTTCTGTTACGACGGACAGCCCTCCTGCTGCGCTGGTCGCGCGGAGCGGAGAACTCCAGACGCAAGCGCTTGTCCAAACGCGCGATCACTCTCGGTAGCCAGCAGCTACTCCGCGCTGCTTCACGGTCGTGTCAACTGCCGGCCAAGAATTCCAGATGTTCACTCAGCGCAATTGATCCTTCCTTGAGTCAGCGTGGCTCAGTGGCATGTATGCTCCATCACACCATCTCCACGCCCCTCGCCCCCCTCCCAACCTCAGTCACCACGCTCACCACTCCTCTCTTCCCAAGCCTAGCCACAACCCCATTTTTCAACCCCATCTTCTTCTCTATCTCAGCTCCACTCTTCCCCTGTCCATCTCTCATGACCAGAATCTGCCGTATCGTATACGCATCCAAGAACTGTCTTCCCGCCTTCCCCCTTCCCGCCTCAAGGAACTCCCGATCTGCCTCTGCTTGCAGCCTCGCGCGTGCTTCAAGCACCAAAAGCGCAGGATTCGTGGCGCGAGGGGGCTGAGAAGTCGAGGGCGCGGAAGACGAAGAGGGGAACTGTGGGTTGAAGGTCGAGGACTCCGAGAGCGTGGGGTTTGGCTGCACCGCGCCTAGGGACCGGAGCTGGCGGGCGAACGACGGGTCTGAGGTTTCGAGGTTCTGAGTTGGTGGAGTGGAGAAGTGCGGATCTGAGGCGTCGCGGTTGATGGCTGGGGAGCGGGCTGTGCTTGCTGAGGGAGGTGGGCGGGCGGTGGGACCAGAGGATGGAGGGGATGTGTTGGGGGCGCGCTTGGGGTATTGACGGGCTGCTGAGCCGGCTGCGCGGGAGGCTTTGGAGGTGGCGGAGCCCATGGATCTATCGAGAAATGGGTATAGATGATCCTACATCAATGCAGATATACACAACTCGCGCATCGACAACCTCGAGCCTCAAAGGCGATTTTCCAGTGATGAAGTCATCGTCTGTGCTCAAGCTCGACGGGGATCGCCTCCGAGGACAACGTGAACTCCATCAATCTCCATCAAGTATAAACCTCAGTACACGCATTCACTGAGCAAAGCTGGCGGTGCTGATGGGCTGACACTAAGCACGACGGGTTGTCTGGTATCGTCCGGCGCGTCCTGCAAGCCCTCTGGGGTCGAGTGGCTGC